ACCTGGCGATGGTAAAAAAGTAATTATCAAAAGTAAGTGATGATATTATGATGATGTGAGTTTGATAGAAAGTTTCAGGATTGTTCTTAGAATCAGAGACAAGGGGCTTCTGTCTTGAGATATTTTCCACAATGTTCTTACTATTCACATGCTAGTTGACTACAGGATAAAATGTCCATGTGCTCACCTTCATTGATTATGTCAGGTTCAAAAGATCGTTCCTTCCCTCTGAGCTAACACCAACTAATGATTGTCTATATATTACCAGATATCGCTTCAGGCATCCATGATTTCCTTGTAGAATTAACTCTACCTGGGATTTAGTAAACATACTCTATAAATAAAACTGCCTTAGCTTGCTTTGCATTGGGCGTCCCGCTATAGACATTTATGTAGACTGGAGACTGAATTAATATGGTATGGTGAAGCTGCAAAATTTGGATTACTACTCAAAAAAAAATATGATAAAAAGTCGTTTAAAAATAGGACTGTGAAATGTGCTGCTTCTCAGTCCTCTGAGCAGAATTTAGGGAATTAAGAAGTCCTTCATGGTAGCGGATCTGACTGATTTCTGGGTCATCCGTAGATTGAAACATTTAAAGCCTGTGATTAACTCCAATGTTACCTCCTGGGACATGAGTCATTGGTTCTTCAGGCCCTTTGTGGTCCTCCATTTGGGACCACTGGGTCTGTTGATTGTCTCATATGCGTTATATCCAAGCTTTGTATTTGCCTCCTTCTTATAGTAAATCTTTTCTTAACTTAACCTATAACTTTTCTAATATAAGTTCATTTTGGAATGTTACACTTCTCACACTGTGCATATTATTAAAATACCTTAAATATACTGTTTATGGCACCTGTATTTATTAATGACTACATGCTGGTTTGTGAATGGACAGTTTTAGGATCCATTTTGTATAATAAAGTGTTTGATATAACTCACCAGGGAATGCTGGTCATAGGCTAAGGGTTCCATGGAGGTGGAGCTTCCACGGCGAGACTCTGTATGACCAGTTCCTGCCTCACAGAAGCCCAGTCCCCCTTCGCCATATTGAGGCACACCCTCTCTGTATATGAGCTCCTCTCCAAGGATGGACTCAGGTCCCAGAGAGCTCTTCGGAGTGGGCATGGGTGTGGCTGCAGTGCGCATGATTATAGGAGGAGCCATCGAGCCACGAGGGTCAACGTGACCGTTGGCTGTCATCATGAGAGAGTACATTTTTAGCTCTGTGGAAGAGAACTAAAGTCGTTATTATCATTTACTGATTTAGTTATTTATTCACACAATGTGAACTAAAGGTCATTTAACCTACCAGTGTCTCTGAGCTGTTCAACCTTCTCGTCCTCCTCAAAGTTGTCTGATTTCTTCTCATCATCTGACTCTGACCGATTAGCATCGCCCTACAACACACATGCAAATAAGCATTTTTTTTAAAAACATTTATTTCCCTTTTTTTTCTGAGTGGAGACGATTATAAGCTTTAATTTTTCCAATTACGGCACAGAGTGTAAGCACATCAGTGCACTGCATTTACTGCACAGAGAATATTTTTTGTGGTTGAAGGTTCACTGTGCTCTTGGGGTGCACATGATAACAGGGTTGGATGAAGAATTGATGGTCTAAAATAATCAATGGGCGTGTTCGGGACTGGTTATAATCTTCAATCTCTCGTCCCCTTTAAAAAGCAGTGGTGCCTTGCATGATTGTGACAGTTTGGTAATTGAGAGTCCCGAACCTGCGGCCTTCAGATGGCTCCATTGGGAGTTAATTAACAGCAAGAGAAGGCCCTCATGCGGCGTTCACACAGTTGTGCATGAGAGACGCTGTTACAAATTAGACATCTTTACTCTGTTCCCCTGGCATTAGTGCCAAATTGTAATAAACAAATTTTTCTGTGCAGTTACATGTATCTAACAGCTGGAGAATGTATAACTAAATACAAATGTATTTGTTTATTGCTTTGTTTATTGTAATTTTGGAAAAGTCTATGAGGGAGTGCCTTCATCAACTTGTGTGATGACAAAAGCACAATAAATGAGTGCACCATATGCAGTGTTGATCAGTTGCCAGCCGGGATGCGGTGATAGATCCAAACACAGTGAATCTTGACAGCGAAATTGCACTGCGCCACTGCAGTCCCTCCCCGAAGTACCAAAAAGGTTAGAACATGCTTTGCGCAGTACAACCACAAAACCTAGTGCCCAGTATCTCAAAGAACACTTTATTTGAAATAAGAAATAAAAAATAAGACAATAAAAGAAGTATTTTTTCATTCATATTCTGCATTCAGCACTATAAAGTTTAATATGGAAAAAAAGTTGTCATTAATTAAAAGGCACTGAATTAAATATTGTATGAAAACAGCTGTTCTCACCTCAGCCTGGAAGCCCTCAACCAAGATGGCCACAAGTAAATTGAAGAGCACATAGTTGCCAAATGTCATGAGAGCAACAAAGTACAGAGCCGCCCATGGAGAGGTGGAGGCCATGCCGTTATACAACACCACATTCCAGTCCTCCTGGGTAAGAATCTAAAGATTGAATGAAACACAGACAGATTTAGGCATAAATAAGGAAGGAGTGGAGGAGAAGAGATGGGTGGAGGCAAAAATAAACAAGGACGGAGGTCAGGTTTAGAGATGTAAAATTAAAAAACAAGAAAAAGAGTGAAGGTCCACAGACATGAAGACATGGAGAAAAGGAAGGAAAAGGCTCTGAGGTTAAAGAAAATAAGACACAGAAAGAGAGAGGAAGAAAGACACAGATGGAAAGGCAGGACAGGAAATGGAACAATATTAGCCGATCCAGCTCTTGTGGGTTCAACATGCTTTATAAAACCCAGTAGTGAGCTACTTTTATTGCCATCCTGCCACAATACTTCAACTTCATACACATGGGATTACTATGAGTTGATGTGCAAAGTGTATGTGGGCGTGTGTATGTGTGTGTGTGTGTGTGTGTGTGTGTGTGTGTGTGTGGTGTTTGCATTTGCGTTTGCGTTTGCCTAAATCAATGTGAGGGATGAAAGCATTTAAAAGTAGGACGGTGTTCATGATGCAGCATGAAAGCTCACTCCGTCTCCACCCACTCATAAAACGCTGTGGCAGGAAGGGAATTCACTGTGCTGTCTGTATGAATGCACACATGCATGTGTGCACAGATTTGTGTGTACTGTAGCTACTCCCCAGAAAACTATAGTAAGTATATAGTGTGTGTAATGCCTTCACATGACAATCAGTTCTGGGTAGAATGCTTTTTCAGCATCTTACTCCTACACACACATCGAAGGGAGACAGTCCACTGCATTCTGTGTTCTACCTTTCTGCTGATGCATCCAGTATAGAAAAGAGGACAATCTATCTGGAGCGATTGAACAATATCTCCACATAAGGAGAGCAAAAAATAGAAATAATAGTGAAAGGTATGGTGTGCATAAGCAGAATTTCTCATTTCCCAGCTTTTGACTAATGAGCAGGACTTGGCAGTTACATGCACACAACTACACACATACACATCAGTAAGCTCTATGCTGAGTTTTACATTTTGATTTCGGATGGCCAAGTAGCACACACAAAATGTACACTAACACACTGCCCAGTTTAGCTCCCACAAATATACTGTGTGAAGGATGGAGTTTTTTGTCTGTCTATCATACATTTCCACCTACGTCACTACGTCACTCTGTGGTGATAAGAACCATATCTGAGCTCTTGTTTTGAAAAGAAGCCAGTAACGATTTTCAGATGACGCGTGCATGACTGGCAGCCTAATAGTTAAGCTGTACAGGTTTACGTACAAGCAACACCTGTCAACTGTAACAAGTGTTAATTATCATGTTTCATTTAGGGCTGCACAATATAGTAACAAAAAAAAAGTGATATTGCAATTTCTTTGACAGATATTATGATTGCGCTATTATTAACGATTAGTGGGAATGATCATTTTTGATTGCAATTTTCGTTTTTACTGAAAAAAAAACTGTGAAAGTCATGATGCTGTGACATTGCTGTTTTGTCACCCAATTTACCTTTATCAAAAGGTAAAATGTGTTTTATTAACCATTTTCATGAACACACTTTTGAATCAGAAGCTTTATATAATCAATAAGAATACAAAAAGCAGTTGAACCCGCAGATAGACAGACCAGAAAATAATAAAGCAATTATTATTGATAATGTATGTGTATAGCTGAGTGAAATCTTATATTAAGTCTGCATCAGTACAGTCTTGGAAAAGAAAGAAAAGTAAGAAAAAGCTGAAGAAGCAAGAGTCAATTTGTTGAAAACTCACCTGGAATACAGTGACAATGGCCCAGAGTAGAGAGTCAAAGTTTTTACGGTCGGGGATGGTGTCTCCATTCTCTGTCTGAAGGCTAAATTTACAGCCAAACAGATGCATACCCAGTATACTGTAGAAAATAAAAGAATGCAGTCATGATAATTTCAATGTATGCATTGTGTGTGTTCGTGCGTGTGGTATGTGTGCATACCTGAAGGTGAAGATGAAAAGCATCAGCAACATGCAGAATGTGGCCACATTGTCCATGGTCTTCATCAGCACCACCAGTTGTCTCCTCAGGGCAGGCAGGAAGCGAACCAGCTTCAGAACTCGCAGCAGTCGAAATGTTCTCAGGACTGACAACCCGCCGTCTGCTTGACCGATTATCTCCCACACACTGAGAACCACAAACAACCAAATTTGTATTAAAACACTATTAAACGTCCTAAAATCTATACATCTATAAAAATGAGATTCAGTTAGAGCAAATTTGTAGTAATTATGAAGGTAATTCCCCCTCAGTACCACGAGTAACACAACCTTGCATACCAAAAGGGTCCCCTGATCCTGTTTGAGCGCTATAAAACTCAGTGACAGCCACACAGCAAACTTCGACTATGACAGGAACAAGAATCTGCTGCTGCAGCATGCAAAGCTTCTCCTGTGTGATCCATCACAAGTGTGTCAATCTTAGCTACTGTAAAGATGGATGCAGTGGCTGTGAACACTTGACACTTGAAACCCAATGACTGACAAGCTGGAGAAAAAAATAAGAAAAGGGGGCGGCTCAAAATCTTGATTCTTGAATCATTGATTGGAGGCATGTCTTTACATTGGGTTTTTGCTTTGTAATACAATAATAAAGATCGGACTGCATGGATTGATTACCTGATAATAACAATGATGCTATCAAATATGTTGTATGGGTTCCTGATGTATCCAAACAAGCCAAAGGCCAGCAGCATGAAGCCCATCTCCAGGACAAACATACTGGTGAAAACGATGTTACTGATCTCCAACACATCGGTCAACTCCTCAGGCTGGGGGGAGAGAAAAGGGAGACAGAAAAAAAGAGGGAGAGTAGAAAGGAAGGAATGAAGAAAGAAAGAAATAACAAGTCAGTTAATATCTCCACTCTATTATGCCACAGTTGTAAAACCCTTTTGGTATTAGTGCCCTGAGCCGAGACATGATCAATCAAGTTCAGAGCTACAGTCAGGCCCAATCAATCAAATGGGACCAACAGCACCAATCCATCACTGCTGATTTACTCCACTTACCTCACAGTACAGTCACTGATCCAGCAAGATGTAAACCGAGGCCCCCTCATAAAGCATGTACTCAAGTTTTGCGCTCTGGTAAACACATTATGGGGCCAAATATTTAACTTTTCTTTATAGAAACGGTTCGCTGGAGCTGCATCAGGGAGCTAAAGGTGCTGATTCGGATCAAAAGACGTGACTTGGCATTCTATCCTATAGCTTGCTTTAATGAGACTTGTTATATCAGGCACACTTGAGTTCATATAGTGTGTTTCTCACCTGGTCATGTAATTTATTTAATGGTCCATGGTCCATTAAACTGCAATAAAGGACGTTTTATGCTTGTCTACAAGGCTAAAAAAAACAATCAAATTTGCAATAGCTTTTTAATCGGATGATCTCCTGTAATAAACACAATGCTCTCTGATATTCCCTGCTTTCACTTTTTCTAGCTTGTATCATGATTCAGTGCTGACAAGCTTTGCACATTCACAAATACAAAATGAACCATTCTAAACCATAAATGCTTACACTCTATAGTGAGCCTTGCAGTTTGTAAAGCCCTTCAGCCTGTGACTTTTATTCTCATGTTACGCATGGCAGGCTCATTAAAACTAATTGTGATTCTTTTCATGTGGGGATCAACAAGCAATAGCCCCCAAAGCCCCCGGTGTATAAAAGCAGGCGGACCATAATGTGGACTAATAAACACACTGACAAGATTTATAAAATCCCAGATGTCCTGCTCCTACAGGAGAGAGGGGTTAACCTTCAGCCTGGGTTACTCTGCACTATCAGCACCCTGCAGAAACATCCAGTGTTGTTTGTGTGTTTACTGTTGTTGGAAATTTTTGAAAATGTTGTTGCATATAAATACTTTTAGTATATGTTTGATGCAGCTGGAATCAAGGAGACAGCAAGGAGACAACAATTTTTTCATTAAAATCACAGCTATTACAACCAATTCAAGCTAACTGATCACAGATAGAGGGCGCCATACTACACAGCACTCCTCACCTCACCTCACTCCACCCCAAGCACACAGAAACACAGATCCTCCTGAGAATAAGTAAACTACAAACTTTTCACCGCCAACTTTCAAGACGAGATTGGGGGGGGGGTTTCCTATTGAAAAGACCAATAATGCAGAGCACATATATTCATTTAAGTACAGCGCTTAAGTACATTTTTGATGTTCTTTACTTGAGTATTTCCATTTCAAGCTACTTTACACTTTTACTCTTTTTATTTTTTATCCATACAAAACACAGTTTATATAATGGATAACCTAACCGACTGATTATATATCACTACTTCTGTACATTTACTTTGATAAAATTTTGCTTGCAGAACCTATACTAGTATTTTAATAGTGTAATACTTTTTCTACCACTGGAAAAGATGCATTTTGAGTGTCACTTTCAGGATCCTGGATCTCACTGCGAAAGAAAGATGGATGTGCACTCTATCTTTTTCAATTTCAAGCATATTTGAGCATTTGTTGTTAGCAAAATACATCACTGTATGATTAGCTGCATTGATAAGTGGTTCCATTTTATGCTGTAATTGCTGCAGACAAAACACAAACAGCCATTTGGACATTCTGAAACAGAGCCTGTCTAATCCATTTCTTTACTGACCTTAGCAACTGCAGGAGAAGTGTGTCTGGTTGATTGCCAATCCACTGATCCATTACTCACATTACAGCACTAGTTTTACACTAGCTGAAATGTTTACTGCTACAGCTTAGATAACCTTGACCTCACTGTCAATATGAACTGGGTTGCTGTATGCGGAGTACACCTAGAGTGCCGTACACGGTTGTCTAATCTAAAGCACACAACATCTCTCTTTTTGTATCTTTACTATTTTCGGCTGATGAGCTTTTGAGTTAATTGGGACATCGTGAAGCTTGAAAACTGAAGCAGAAACGCCTGTGCAAAAATAAAAGGACGCAGAAGTAATGTCAGGGGACTCAAGTACAGCTTTTGGTGTGCTGCATGGTGTTGAAAATAATGCCATATTCTCTTTTAAAAGAGCTGGGCAGACAATGGAAAGACTATAGTAGTTAGTAGTTAGTAGACCTGGCTGTTTGTTCAAAATGCCTTACACTGTACAGCCAGCACATAAAAACTTTAAAGCACTTCAACAAAGCTTTGAAAGAGTTTTCATCCAGCTATTCTATTGTAAGAAGTGACAATACCGTAGACTCACATACATTATTTAACAGAGGACTAGTGGCATTTTCATTACCTTTTGGCCCACTGTCTACACACCGGCCAAATGAAAGAGCATACTGCAGACTTGCAGGGTAATCATTTCCATCCAATGCTGCACGTCAGTTCTTGTGCCTGATATGATTACAAATGTATCTTTACTCACTGCTTTACAGTGTATTTAGTGGGGAGAGTATAGTATGACATTGTAAGTTAAAACAATACAAAGTTAAATGTGGTAATAGCTGAAGGTATGGTGGCCCTTAAAGCTCAACTCATTGCAACTTTAAGTTATATATACAAAATGGACTTACCACCAGGATGTGGCACTAGAGCAACAGCATCTCAGACCAAAAGAATGGGACAGAAACACACTACAATTCACCAAAACTGACTTTGTTATTCTTTCCACAGTCTTTGTAACAATCACCGATACCGGTTTTGTCAAAATAAATGATAAAATTAATTGAGTTAGATGTAATGGCCGCAACGTAAGCTAACATTAATGCTTGGGGACAAATGTGTCTGTGCACTTAAAGTGCTTGTTTTTGCCATTGACAGGTACAGGTTGTCAATCTAAGTGTCTGAAAACATTAAGGAAAAGATCCCTAGAGAGACAGACTTTTTGCTTTATCAGAAACAGTCGCTCACCTATAGACAAAAATGGTAACAAATTTTTCCTGCATGTCATTGTAACATCATAACTTCATTCAAAGTGGACAGAAACGAAATAAAACTCAGCAGAATTGTCTTTCAATTGTTCCAACAATTACCAACTTTAGTTTGGATGAGATAAATCCTTAATACACCAAAGTAGATGAGAGTCGCTCTACTCAACTGCACATGGAGCAGACCGGCTTTGAAAACAAACCACAGATAGGCCTCGAAAGCAGCACAGGGGGAGGGAATATGATGTAATTTTTTGCTAAGGACGCCATGACTGCACTATATCTTTACATAGCAAAAAAAAACATCCTTACCAATTGTACAACACATATGCAGCATTTAGAAAACAACACTGCAAATAAAATACAACCAAATACAAAAATGCTGTGCTGCAAGTAGCACAGGCAACAACAGAAAGTGTTTCCAGAGGACACGAGAAAGACAGGGCCGGGACATGCTTGTTGTTACCATGGTTTGTAACACATGAAGTTACTGAAGTTGGCTATCCATACATGGTGTTGGAAAATGAGCTAAGAGTTGTTGTTTTTTTGGGAGGACAAGAAGAGCACCCCAGCAGGGTCCTGGCATGTTCATTACATTTTAGTGTCTCCTGGAAATAGTTTTCATTGACGTCGTTGTCTTTCCTCTATTTGCAGCATTTTTTCTAACTGCTCTGCATGTGTTGTCAAATTGGTGAAGATGTTTTCTTAAATTGCTTGTGTTTTGTCTATTTGCATGTGTTTTCCTAAGCTACAAATTGTTGGGCTCTCTGGGCCACTGTATGAACATCTCAAAGCAGAGAGCTAAAAATGTCAATGAGCCTGCAAAATCATACATCAGTGTCTCCTCTGGTTCTGTGTTTTTATGTTTGATGTAATTCTGGTGCCCGTTCTATCTGATGGCAACATTGTGGACAAGATGGAGGGAAGAAAAAGTTCAAGAGCTGGTAAAATTTAAAGATTAGAGAGAGGCAGGTTTTTATTAACGTTAATCCTACCGACTGGGGAACCTGCAGACCCAGAGGTATACTTTTGTCATATCACACAGGTGCTTTATTCTATCATTCCAATTTTTTCATAACTTTGTCAATTCGTTCTCAATTACTTCAAATCAATGTTGTCTCTAAAAGTCAATTAGTGCCTTTTGAAAATACTAATGTACTGAAATCCTAATGTATTGCATGTCTTTTTTAGGGAGACAGACAGATTTTCTAATGTGCTCTTTTTTTGTTTTACACAGTATGCAAAATAACTGTAACTTTTTCTAAAATAATCCAGATTGACACAAATTACATAACTAATGATGTTTTAAGAAGAAATAAGTTAACATTTTCCTATGATGGTTGTTTCTTACTGTAGTTTATTCTTGGGGTCTCCAGGGAGAGTCAGTAGTATTTGTATGTTAAATATGTTGGTAGGATGAGGTCTTGCAGCCAGCAATACAAATGTTGGTGGGAAAACTGAAAAGAAAAACTCTTCCCTCTATTAATAAATCCCAACAAAGTGCCCTTGAGCTGTCAACTTTAGCCTGTGATGCATTTTATTTTATAGTAGCAGTTCTAGATTGCCACGATCATTAGTGGTTTCAAAATAATTAGAGGCTCTTAACCATATGTCAATATATTTTATGTATTCTACTACAGTCCCAAATGAGCATTCTGAACTATTACTTTAGACGTTGCTTTCCACTACCATCATTATGTTTGACTGACCAGGTGATCAATCAGAATGAAATACTGTGTCAGTGCCTGCAAGAAGACATTTCAAGTGAGTGTTTACGTATATGAATACAGCTCTGCATATGACCTTGGCCTTAAGAATATGAGAAACAAAAGCACAACAGAGAATGTAGCTTCTCTGGCAGAGCAGGGTAGAGGAATGGCCTAGACTATAAAGCAGGACACTCACATTAATAAAAACAATCCTGAAAAACACAGAATCTAATAATGTGGACCAAGTCATACTGTGTGTGTATATATATTTATATATATAAATATATAATCAATATACAATATATATATAAAGTTGGGGACAATGAGCATTAAACTCAGTATTACTGTATTTACTGTGTGGTGTTGCATCTAACCTATTAGACTATTAGACTTTCCTCTGTTTGTGAGCAGGAAAGTTACCTGTGTGATTTTTCAGTCGTGCATAACACACAATCTACCTTTATGCTTACCTACACTGTGCATTCCTTTATGTTAGTGGGTTTCATAACATCATATATAGCTTTTAGCTGTTCCACCAACCAGACAAAAAAACAAACAAACGTGTTTTCAGCTATAGCCAGCTATTATTATTATTATTATTATTATTATTATTTATTTATTTATTTATTTATTTATTTAACTGTTTCAGAACTCAGAGTCAAGTTTTTATGTTGTAGTCAAGGCCAACTAATGACACTAAAGGACAGTTACAATCAGATCTGAGTTGCCAGACAATGTGTTTATATTCACGAATCAGTTCACATGTGGGCTTCCTTCCATGCATATTCGATTCCAGCAATCGATTTCCAATCTAGAATTAGTCCAAACAACATAGCCAAAACAATCATCAAACATCTCCCAATTTCTCTAAACCTCTCCCTCTCTCTACACACACACACACACACACACACACACACACACACACACACACTGTCTACACTATGCGTCCCACATTTGTAACCTCTTCACACCACATCATACAACTCATAAAAAAAAATCAATCATAAAGATTTGGCTAAGGTGTCAATAAGAGGGGAATAAATGAGTAACTGAGGGGAGGAGGAACTCTTACATAACACTTGTGCTAGTGTGTAGTGATGCTGTGGTGTGTGTGTGTGTGTGTGTGTGTGTGTAGTGTGTGTGTATTGGCCCAAATAGGCCCAATGGCTCTCCCAGTTGTTCCTAACTATGTATATAGTACCACAAAGATAGAAAACACACATACATCACCCCTGAGAGGGAATTAGAACAGAGAATGGAAAGTAGGATGGACTGTGTGCATGCACCAGAATTTCTCTTGGGTTAAATTCATCAATTCTGCTGTACTGCGGAAAAGGCAAAAAAGGTTGCGTGCGTGCGTGTGTGTGTGTGATAATAATAATACTTGGGTGTAAAGATAGAAATGATGAATGTATAAAAACAAGCACACATTTTGAGTGTGTTGATCAGTGAGGCAGGGAACGGGGAGCTTATTATTAGGCGGATACATTCCCAGATGATTGGCCAGCACAGGTAAACTACGAAACATAAATCCTGGGTGTGTGTGAAGTGGCTCCAGTGTATTTGTGTGTAAGAAAAGAGGGAACGAGAGGGTACTGCAAACAGAAAACGAC